ATTCTTTGCAGCGCTCTATCTCAGTAAAAAAATGGTTGTATTGAGGTTCTAAGAAAAGCATTTTAAAGCTCCAAATGTCTAGTTTTTGGCTCTTTTAGTGGACACATTTTTGTAGCTCCAGGATCCACGCAAACCTAGGAAATAATGCGGAGAAGAAAATGCGAATTTTCTTATTTTTTATTTGAAAAAATTTGATCTTTTCTTGCTTAGATGTCTAATTTTTAATAAAAAAGGACCCCTTTGGCTTTAATCATCGATATCTCAGGAACCAATCATGCTTCAGAAATTCTATGGGTGGTTCCAGAAGCTGGAATAGATTCTCTAAGATCAATGATTATATGGAAAACAATATTTTCCATCCTTATGGGCTGGAAAAGAAAACAGAAAAAAATCGATAGTTTTTTGGAAAAAACATGTGCTAATAAATAGCAAATATTGCTAAAATGACTAATTTTGAGCATGACCAATACATACCATATACTCGTAAAACACTTGTTAAGAACAATCAAAAATTCGGAAAAATTAGGTTTGCGTTTTGGTGCTAGGATATTAAGATTAAAAACAATGTTTTTTCTGGGCTATTTCTACACTTTTCCTTTGAAAACGCCTTTTATAACGGAAATTCACAAAAATCCGAAAAAAGCGTTTTCCGTTTTAAAGTTTTACAGCAACAAACGTGATTCATTAATTTTTTCGAATCTTTGTCCAAAACAAAGAAACGTCTTTGCAGATAAATTTAATTTTATAGAGTTATTGTGACTGCATGGAACTGTTAAAGTCATGCTCAGCATTAGCCATTTTGGCATTATTTGCAATTTAGCTCTTTGCCAAAATAACATAAACTACCCATTTTTTTCTTCTTCTTTCGCTTAAAAATATGAATATATTTTTTTTTCGTGAATGATCATTTTCATGAATATCGATGATCAAAGTCAAAAAGTGATTTTTTTTTTCGTTAAACGTTCGACATCACAGCGAGTGGTTTTATCCAGATTTTGAAAAAAGAAATTGAACCATAATAAACACGCTCATAGTCCATATAATATGGTTTAGCCAAAAAACGTTTTACCGAGTCCGAGAATCTGAATAAAAGAATAAAAAAGTTAGACTTGTTTCTTCTCAGTTTTTTTAGGGTTGAGTGGAACCTGCATTTTTTTAAATATTTGGCTCTGAAATGCAATAACTGGAAATTTCAAGCCTTAAAATGCTTCTCTTGGGGCCTCGATAGGACCATTTTGACTGAGAAACAGTACTTCAAAGAATGACTAAAGATTGATAATTTTTATTTGATCCCTTAATTTTTTCCAGTAGTATACATTGTGTGCCTAGCCGTTTGAAGACATAATCTTCATATTGCTTATTTCGTTGCGGTATGTATGTCAATCCATTGCGGCACATAGTGCCTCTACAAGCTGTCGCCACTCTGGTCTGGTCTTTGTAAGCGTTTTGATATAGGATTTTCCCATTGGTCTCGCTCTGAGACCAGTTTTCTACATGTCGTCGGTTGTCAAGAAAAGTGACACAAATCAGAATTCTTGAACTTTTAGGAGAGCGATTTGAAATATTTGGGAATCGTTTTTATCGCTTGGTTGTTTTCCTAATCGATTTACACCAATTATTTTGATTGTTTTGTATTTTAGATATGAATACCTTATTCTTCATGGTAAGTTCTGATGAAATTTGATTTGAAGGGCTAAAAAAACAACATATTTGTAAATTTATGTCGTTGTTCGTGATAAACATGAGAGTCACAATGCCATCTCTTTAACAACTTTTTTATTAATTAAACGTACATTTGGTAAATAACCTGTATTTATTTCCTTTCCAACAAATGCAAATAAAACATTCTCTATTAAAAAAATATACGGAAATATGAAACAAAACTTATGTACAGAGTGATACAGTAACTCTAAATTGAGGCTGTTTTACAGCATAGAATTAAAAAATAATAAGCACCATTGCAAAACGTAGGAACATTACAAAAATAAATAATAATGCCGAGAATATCACTAAAAGTACCTTTTGCAAGTTACTATAATACTGAAAGTAAGTAACCGGAATCACAGAACGGTTATTTTGTTGGTTGAATAAACTTAAAATACTACTTTCCTTTTTTTCAGTAATCCCTGGTTTAACTCGATATAGCTTTTTGATTACCAACGTGTCATCGCGTTCTACATTTCGTCTTCTGCAGTATCTAGAAAGCCCTGTATCAATGGTTTGATACTTTCATTTCTATCATTTTTTGTGAAGCTTCTTGCTGCCGTAGAAGCAAAATCTTTTAAATCAAGGAAGTCTTCATGATTCAGCTCATGCACTCGATAGGGGCTACCTGATACTTTGGACGTTCGTATTATACATACTATATACTATACATACATACTGGGCTGGAATAAATATGGGACCTGACTTTAACGAACGCTTGACATGTCGTTCAATCACGGAATGGGCACTGTCGCCTTCATTCGAGGTATGTCCTTTGATGAGGAACTTATGCCTTATTGAGTTGATAAAATTGTATGTTTGGACAGCATGATGGTAAATTTTAAACATAACATGGTTTTTCTGCTGTCCCCAGCAATTATCAGAGTAAAAGATAAGGTCAATCTTCTTGTTATATATTTGATTAGCTATACTTTCTAGAGATTCAATGTAATTTAATACGCATGTACCTATTTCGCAGACACCCGTGTTTCCTTCAGACTCATCCCACATGTAGCAGTGGACGTCCTTTGTTTTCAATTCGTAAATTGTAAAATTAAATCACAGGGTGACTCAATATCGTCGAACTCCACTTCTGTATTTTGAGATTCTCGTATGTTTGAAAATGTGTCTCTGGACTGGTGATCAGTATGATGTATCTCTTCGCCCTTTTCTGTGCCTAGGGAATCAAGCAGGCCATTGTCGAGATCAATCAGTTGATCGTTTATTTTTGATGAGCTAGCTGTCAAGAATGAATATACAATCTCTGTAACATCTCTGAAATGCGGTAACGCGTTTTCTCCTTCACAAGTTAGATCCGTTGGAGGTAGTGAATTAGGTGCTGTGAGGTCTTTGCCAGATCCTAAAAGAGAAAAAAGAATCAATAGTAGCTCAAGTAGCTTCCATTTTTTCAAACATTTGTAGAGTTCAATTCAATGATGGAAAAGTTTTTCTTTGTAATGGAACCTCTAAACGGGCAATATTTTCGTAAAATATCTCACTGGAACTATAGCAATCGTTTATAAAAATATTCCAGCATATGGCAGGTTGCCATAATTACAATAAAATATTTCAAATAGTCCTACATTTGATTTAAGACATCACGACTTAACCGACTTACCAGTTTCTGATGATTGTCAATATATTCCCACATTTTCTACATCACTGAGTCCTCAACTCCATCACTTTCTGGAAAGAAATCTAATAAGATTCTCAGAACGACAAAAACATTGTTAAAAGGTACATAGTTGACCTAAAACAAAATCATCATGTTTATTTGAAATGGCATATTAAAGTGTTGAAAAAAACTGACATATTTTTCGAGGTAAATTTATGAAGAGCACCATCATAACTCAAAATTAGGATGAAACTGGTAAAGCATTGTCAGAAAATAATCACTTATTATCAGAAAGGACGACATAACAGAAGACTAAAGACATACACGATAAGACTCAACTAAGTATGCCACCTACCTTATTATCAAAATCGTCACAAAACAAAATGTGTCACTTTCCTTGATAACAGCGTTCAGATCACATAAACGAAGTCAAAATGTGTCATTTTTCTTGATAACGCACTACCACACTGCGAGACGTGCCGGGCACAACTGAGGTTATGGCCAGTTATGACACTTTTCTTGAGACGCACAGGTGAATAGTTACTGAAAAGAAAAGTGACACTTCTGCTATCTACCGGCCGTTTTTCAAACTACAGTAGTGACGGTTCGTGTGATGAAAATATGCACTTTTTGCCGATCATTCATGCATATATCTCAAAAAACGTGATTTTTGAGTTGTGTCACTTTTCTCGACAACCGACGATGTCAGTGTGGGTCAACAAATGTTCCTGTGTCCTTGGGGGTTCCTGCCTGAGGCCACTCTAGGTACTTTGTCGCCCATCCATTTTCGTAGTATGTGAACTATTTATCCCCGCTTTTCTTAGCTCGGTTCCTTAGTTTTTTCATCCTGACTTTCTCCGCAGCTTATCGTTTGATATTGTTCTTGACTAAAATATCGAATACCTGAACCCATCAATGTTTCAATGAGAAGCTATACTTGATTAATTTCCAGTAATTTTTTTTCTCGTTCTGCCGCATTCATCTCCAAAAACTTTCCTTAACAGATGTGACATACAGACGGTCTTGATCTTTACGTTCTAATACTACTTATACATATTCAGAGAGCGGCATTGACCCCAATTCGCGCATCTTTTGGCACTGATCAAGCACTTATATTTTTTTCAGTTAATAACTGATCATTAGCGGTTTCTTCAGAGTGAATGGGGCTCATTACTACTTTTGTTCTTGTACTGTGCGTTGACATTGTTTCGATTTTCCGTCTCGTGACGAAAATCGGCAAGAACGAAAACGAGGCTTATTCACATGAGATTCAGGGTGCTGAAGTTGACGAAAAAGGCCCCGGTCTATCTGTCAGATGAAAGCTCGAGGCTGTGCCTGCTGTATAGATCAGCTGGTAACCTCACATAGTAGATTGTGAGGCTTCCTTATTAGTTTTGTGTTACAAGAATTTTATGTATTGCTTACATACATAATGTGAAACTTGGAAGGTCACCTACACAAACGGTAAATATGCTTCGGCAAGATTATGGCAATGAAGCAATGAGCCGTTCTCAAATTTTTGAATGACATGGTCGATTGCAAGAGGGAGAAAAGTCATTGGAAGAAGACAAGCGACCTGGAAACATTGAGAAAATAGCTCATCATAAACTTTTCCGAAACATATTTCTGTACTTTATTTTTCTCAATGAGTATATAATTGCAACTTCATATTGCTTTATAGGTTTGAGGACAAGCCGTATCTATGGAACAGCATGGTGACAGCGGCAACAAACTCCTTTAAAACGGAAGAGGGCTTGGATCGGGTACGCGCACTGTACGTTGAGAAACAGAACGAATTCGGTACCGCCGATTTTGTGATCGAGAAGGCGCTGGTTAATCTGAAGGAAGAAGTTAGATGGAGTAAGGAAAATCTCCCGGTTATCGAGAAATGGTTGGACAACTACATATCCATTTATGGATCCAAGAATTCCATGGGAAGATAATGTACATGGGATTATATTTTTAGTTGAACTGATTTCAAACAGGAACATTCCTGTTCTTGAGCTGAAAGGAGATGATTCAACAACCAATAATATAATCTGTGAAGATTAAAAAATAAATTCCACAGTCATGTGTATCGTCATACAATTCAAACTCTACAGGGCTAAGTTGCTTCCCTTTGAGTTTATTTAACAACATAATGTTTTTTTTAAATACATTAATATATCGGGATCTTTCTGATATTTATTAAGTGGATCGAAACATCGCATGTTATTTTGAAAGTTGCTTGGATTTTTGATATTTTCAATGTCCAATTATTGTTCACGGCAACATATTTCAGTAACGACATCATCATTTTCGAGATAATTAACTTTTTCTACAGTTTCATTAGCTGTCACTGTTATAAAGCTTTATGTTTGTGTTATAAACATTGTCAATATAAACAAATATTTTTTTCAAATATTCACTATGAAATGTTCAGACATTGTTATCAAACGACTTTCTCTGATTTTCAAACAATGTACAGAAGTGTATGCTTAGAATTAATATTATCCTAATTGATCATGTCAGCTTTTGAAAGTATTGATGCTACATAAACATTAGATTATTGAAACTCAGAAGAGTTGTATGCAGCGGAAATGTATTTATAGGTTATTTAACCATAATATAGCTATCTATTTATATAGTGAGATAAGTACAGATTGTGAATAAATTAACGATCATGAGATCATAAACAAATCACGTTTTTGTTTACCCTGTCCCCCAACTTGGTGCTTCAACATAGTATGCTTTATTGCATCAGAATTTATAGCAGGGTTATCAGTTATACTACAAAGCAAGACATTATAAATTCTGAATTATTTAGATAAATTATCGGTTAAACTGGTCAGAGAGCCCATATAAGAAACTTCATCAATCAGTTAAAACGCATAGATAATATACAGGATGTTCATTTGAGAACTTTCCACTACGGATTTATCAAAAACTACTGATTAAAAAAAAACGCCGAGACACGTCAAATGATTTGTGAAGCGGGACAACTTTTTAACCAAAAACTACTTCACCCCCTCTTACCCTCTGCCCCCAGGGTTATCCCCTTATAACTGTTAAATGACAAGGGGTCTCGAGTAATAGCTTGTTAAAGAAGAATTAGAAAAATCTTTATTTATCTTAAGTTGTTCAGATAGAAAACAAAAACACGCGAAAATATTACTTTTTATTTCAATAAGTTCAAAATGTTGCCAAATCTACAATTCGTTTATAATTTAAAACGGAAACTACCAACATAAACAGCAATTCGGAAGATTTGACGTGGCAATAAACAAATAACAATCCGAATTTTTTTCCGCATTCTTTTCATCAACTATCCTGGGCGAACTGTATTTATTGTTATACCTGTTTAGTTATTTGTTGCTAAGGGCGAGAAATAAATTTGCTGACAGTTACCTTGGGATAGTGATCTATTGATTCAGATCTTACTTCCAAAATGGTTTACACACTAGCCGAAAGAGTGGAAATGATTGAAGTTTTGGGTCATTTTGGGATAAATCCTAATACTTCATTAAGCAAAACTGTTGCTGCGACTGGTATTTAATTAGGCTCTGTACACACATTTACTAAACTCCATAAATTTCATCCTCTCAAAATGAAAATATTGCAAGAGTTAACCGATTAATGAAACCATTCATGTAAAGAATATCTGATGGATGCTCATTTTGTCTAAATGGATTTGTTATAAGTATAACTGCAATAAAGATCCTCATGCTTTTGTATAAGGACATACGCAGTACCCCCAAAAAATTAATATGTGGACAGGCATTGTAGGAAACAAAGTGATTGGGCCATTGTTTACTAATGTAAATTTGAATGGAGACATTTATTAGGATATGTTGGAAAATGCTATCAATCCGCTTATCACTGGAACCATTGAAAACCAAATCGAAGAGGATGGAAACCCTATACTTGATGAGGCTGAATATATTTCCCTCAAGACGGCGCTCCTCCTCACTATGTTCTTCCAGTTCGGCAATGGCAAAGGGGCCTATAGAATGGACTGCGAGATCTCCTGATTTGACGCCATTAGATTTTTTTGTGTGGGGCGATTTGAAATCTGTTGTGTTTACTCCCCAACCTGAAAGTTTGGATGAACTTCGTCAACGCATCATCGAAAGCTGCCATGATATCCCACAACATATTTTTGAAAATTTCCGTCAGGAATTTGAACTTCGTCTATACCATTGTTTGGCCAATAAATAAAAAGTGATATTTTCGTGTGCTTTTGTTTTCTACCCGAACAAATTAAGATAAATAAAGATTTTTCTAATTTTCTTGAAAACGAACGATTTAAAATTTTTTAAGTGATGAGCCTGGTGGGCAGAGGGTGAAAGGGGGTGAAGTAGTTTTTGGTTAAAAAGTTGCCCCCTTGAGGAATCTTTTGACGTGTCGCGCCGTTTTTTCTTTTAATCAGTGGTTTTCGATAAATACGTGGTGGAAGGTTTTCAAATGAACACCCTATATGTCTTAACAACTTTTGCACACGGAATATTGAGGCTGAATTTTAACATCACAAGCGACCAACTTAATATATTCTTACACTACCAACCTAAGAAATCAGTATTGTTGGCTGTGATCCTCAAATGAGAAGTAGCTTTCTTCTCTCTAGGTATATATGAGAATAAGGAGGCACTTAGGCAAAAAATATCATTTAAAACTCATTCATTCAACTTCAATATGTCTATTTTGACAACTGAACTTTATATCTCGGAATACTTGAAAAATATTAACGTTGGTTATTGTTCCTTGTCTAGCCACACTTTCTACAGACCTTAACCAAAACATAACCAATGTTATTTGCATACTCCCCTTTAAAATGGACTAGTTCTGCTGGTTCCAGGAACGTACATTCAATAATTACAGTTTGACAATAGCACTACATATTTCAAAGTATTTGAAAAATAAGGTGAATGATTGTGATGCAAATTCTAAGATTATGTGCATAGTAAAAAGAATCCTATACATATCTCGTCGAATGCCATTATTGATCTCGCACATTATATCCTTCGGCTGACTTCTCAAACTAGGTATGTAAAGTACTATTCTCATGAGCTGCTTGTATCAGAATATTAGGCCTTGAAGAATATATCACCTGTTAAAATTCACGAATAATTCAAGTTGTAGGAAATACCAACAATAAATAGACGTGGACTTGGTAACCATCTTTTCAGCGTTAGCGCGTGATAATCAATGTACTCCCTTACGTGGGGCTCTCTCCCTTGCGCGTCTCTAGTTACTTGACCTTCGATGCATCGAAATATCCTGACCATTATCGTTAATATTTATTACCTCATCATAGGCCACGATGTCGGTAAATCGGTCATTCCTTGATAATGTCACCTCAAAATCGCTTTTAAAATCCAGAATGAAAGCTCCAAATAAACCTTTATCTCAAAAAGGGACATATACCTGGTACCATTGCATCGTCAACTAAAATACTTGCTGGGCGAAGCTAAAATGTGTATCCAGAACTGGAACTAAATAGATCACTATATCTCCATCAGAAAAGACCAAAATAAAAAATGTAACCGATATTTTTGGTTGACATAGTTGCTTCCGCGTTCTGTGCAGTTCAATATCACATACATTATCCTCATAGGTCCTGCCAAAGTAGTAAATGACTACTCAAATATCGTGCAACCGGTTATTATGTTATCAAATTTACCCTGCAAGGAATACTTCAAAGGAACATTAAACTCAAAACACATGATAGTGTTGCATAAATAATTATGAATATTGCATATAATTGCATTCTTTTCAAAGCCGTATTGCTTACAATTCAGCATTTAAAAGCGAGGCGCTACGGATACCATTTATATACTTTATATTCCATGTAGGTGATCTTTATGACCTGATTTATCTAAATGTTGATCCTAATGTGCAATATATCGTATGTTTGTTACTACACCCTATCAATCACAACTATTATTTATTTGTTATTTTGCCAGATCCAAGAAATAATAGTTTCTATGTAAAACAGCAGTCAATGTCCAACTGAGATTAAAGTAAATAGGTACATTGCGCATACAGGGTGATCGGTAATTGACCTATTCCTTGAAAAATATGTCATTTTCAACATTAACTAGGTGCAAAAAAAAAGGTTTGGAAGATTTCGATGTTTTAACATTTTTTGGCATGTCACCAAAAAGAAGTTTTATATTTTAGGAACTCAGTCGAAACCTTATTTCTGATACTACGACAATTTCAGAAAAAAAGTGTCCCGATATTCTCTATTTCGCAGGAATCAGGCTAGTCGATTTTCGGTGTTTCAAATATGACTCTCACGATCGGGATCTCGTAAACAGTAAGAGATACGAATTCGCCTAAATAGGGCAAAGTTGCGCCTTTAGACAACTAAGAAAACTGCGTTCAGAAAGTTTCGTAATCCGAGTATTTCCAGGGAGAGACGGAAAACTCTATTTTCCTACCACCGCTTTATGTTCCTGTTCTTTGACATAGTCTTTCAAAATAAAAAAACATGTTAACAGAGCTACTTTTTCTTTTCTACGAGACGATATAATTAGAATTTCAATATGATGTTTCGTCTTTTGCCCTCAATCATCAAATTTAATTTTTCTTATAGTTATTTCAACAGAAAACTGATATTTTCAAAGTTGATCTTGAAAATTAGATCAATGAGGAGGCGTCTTTGAAGTAATGGATCTAATGAATCTGGTCGACTTCTTGTAAAATGTCTCTCTAAATAGAGAAAAATCATACGATTGGTGTAAGATGGACTCTAAATTTGCATATTATATCAAGAAATACTTCATGTATAACATGGCTCAGCTGCAAAAACCTATTTCTCATTGGATTCACATGACGCCATTACTGGGCATTTTATTGGAAACAATAGTGTCAAACTGTTGATGCTTAACCAATTCTTTGAAGATATTAAATTTCAGAATGCTTGTTCTTTAACAAGCATCGAGCAAATCATCAATTTTCTTGACCACTGTGTCAAAAACCATGTTCCTCAAAACAGCCTGTTGAAAGGGAGATGTCGCGCACTCTACTGGACGGTAGGACGATCAAGCCACGTCACGGTGACGGTAGCAATGCTGGAAAATAGTCATCTTACTGCCTAGAAGAGGGCGCAAGAGCTCCCTGTTAACAGGGCGGCTTACGGAACAGGATTTTTCGAACAGTAGTCAAGTAAATGGAACATGTACTCGATGTTTGTTAAAGAACAAGCATTCTGTAATTTTATTTAGATAATCAAAGAATTTATCAAGCGGAATTTTAAACAGCAACAGTGAGACACCGATATGTTTATTTTATTGCTGTCATATCAATCTAGATATTGTATCAGATTTGTGTCCATGCGTCGAGTATGGCGCAAATACTTCTTTTTCGTTAATGTATTTTATGACCATGATCGGTAACTTGGTATCCGGACACAAATAAAAAAATAGGTTTTTGTAGCTAAACCAAGTGATTTATGATTTAATATGAGAATTAGGAGACCACCTTATATAAACCGTATTTGCGAGACAAACAATTGGCATATTCATTAGATCCATTAGTTCAAAGACTCCTTCTCATTGGTTGAATTTGTGTAATTTTCTACAATGGGACGTAAATAATATTAAGATAATTTGCTGTTTTATCGACTATGTGTGTATCGATTAAGATTCAGTGGATATAGAATATGTTTAGGAAACTGCAACATGGTCTGGGCTTTTATTTACTGTAAAATCATATGAGCAAAGTCTTCTACCCTTTCAGCATTATGTTGTTCGCGTTGAGTTAAATCCGATTAAAGCGTTATACAGTGTCTGCATGCAACTTTGTAAATACTCGTAAAAACACTCTTCCACCTATTCGGCTTACATAAGTATAAACAAATAATATATTGTACGAAAAGTAAAACATCATCTTCCAAAAATATATTTTTATGACATGAGGCACAAATATCAAGTGTATTTTTATTATAATTGCACTTGTTTTTCATACAATTGGGAGTTCAGTATTTATCAAGA